TTCCCCAAATGGATTGTTTCAAGCTGTATATGAGTTATGATAACCCTTATCATGGGGTTTTCTTGGCAAGATTAGTTCAAAGGGAGTTTTTCATTGCCATTGCCTATGCTGAGGCTGAGAGAGTATGACTTGCCCAAGATCAATCAGTGGATTTCCATGGCTGAGTGAGGATATGAACCCTGCTCTCCAGCATCCTGGTCCAACACTCAAGCCATTAAACAACAATGGCACTTACTCGGTTTAGGCTATGTAGAACCTGCTTTAGTTCACTGTACTGTATATTTTTTAAACACAGTAACATGCTTATTTCTCATTCCAATCTATTTCCCCATTACATTTAATAAAACCTATCAAACTTGGATACCAGTTCAGCAGTTTATTTCATTCATCCAAGGTGCTAACATCCTTTCAGTCCCACTTACTTAATAACTTGGTTTCTCACTACTTGCTTTGAGTTGGATGGGAGCAAAGGCAAATGGGCTAGAATTCTCTTAGTGGTGCCTGGCATTCTGTTGACAGTGCCCTTTATCTACATCCAATAACTCATGTGCTGTGAAAATCTCCTGGCATCCCAACAGCCAGAAGAATGAATCCAGGAGGGTAAGAGAAGGAATGAAAAGGGAAAAAAACATGACAGATAGCTACAGACATCATGAACTTGTCCACATGGTCTGCAGAATCTGACTTACTTATATCACTGCCTTTTGTATTAAACACACTCCCCACACTTACTAGCAGTCAGTGCATGGTGCACTACTCAACTCCTCTCAGATGCATTTAACTGAATATGCTTTCAATGCAGATTTAAAGAAGTAATATTTAGTCTTCCTAGAGGTATTTGGCTAGCCACTGCAAGAAACCAGATAATGACATGGAGCAATGAATTCAAACTACAGGAATAGAGTCCATCTTAACATTAGGAAGCACTTCCCAACAGTAAAAGCTGTTTCACAATGGAACACGCTGTCTGAAAGTGTGGTGGAGTCTCCTTCTTTGGAGATTTTTAAATAGAGGCTGGATGACCATCTGTCAGGAGTGCTTTGATTGTGTCTTCCTGCATGGCAGGGGGTTGAACTGGAGGCCCTTGAGGTCTCTTCAGCTCTAGGATTCTGTGACTGAAAGAATCAATATGGCCTTGCCCAACAGAGTACTTTTTCTTTTGCTATACCTTTATGTTCTTAAATTATGCCACTCTGCACAACTTAATGCTACCCTTCCACAGACTGCACATCTGTGCTTCTAACAAAGCAACAAAACTTCAGCTTATATAGGGGGAGAAAATATTTCAGTCTGATAGTTAGCAAATGTTAGACAATATAGAAAAACTAAAAATCAGTTTCTGGTTGTTGTTTTCTGGTTGTTTTATGTCAGAATTAAATCGAAAAGAAAATACATTTAAAAAAAACCCTTTTTACTTTTTAAATTAAGACCCAATGTCAAACTACAAACCTAACCAACTGGCATTTAATTTGAAGTTGTTACAAGTGATGACTCTCTGCTAGTACAAAGGTTGTACCACTTGCAGAAACTCCACTGCCTGAGTAGTTTCACAACTCATTATGATTTCATTATGCGAAAGTCTGTTCGAGCAAGTTGCTCTGGCTGATCTGTTGTGCTTGTGAAAATATACTTGTAGCACTGAGAGTTACCAATATACTTTACAAGCATCTAGCCTGTTTATAATTTGCCAGCTCATTCCATGCCTTCTCTTTCTCTTTTCTTTTCTTTTCTTTCTTTTTTTTACTGTGTGCACATTATTAAAACACCTAGTCTAAATCTTCAAGATGTGTCTATTTCTAATGAAGAGGCTTTTCAGATACAAGGGCTGAATTCTCACATGCCTAAGCTTTCAAGAGATGAGGGGGAGGAATGGTGGAAGCCATCCATTGTGGTAATTACATGTTTTCCAACCATTTATAAAAATCTACACATAAAACGGACAAATGTACACAAGCATTTTTCATATAACACACATATTTATATACAACTATCCTGAGCCAGTGTGGCATAGTGGTTTGAGTATTGGGTTGGAACTCTAGAGACCAGGGTTTGAATCCCGGCCCAGCCATGACACCCACTGGATGACCTTGGGCAAGTAACATTTTCTCAGCCTCAGGAGAAGGCAATGACAAACCTTCTCTGAACAAATGTTGGCAGGAAACCCCATGGACATTATCACACGGGGTCTAAAGCAGACAGAATCC